ATGTATTTAGCAAGAAAGTAATAATTGGGGACACAATTTACTACATCTAACTGGAGATGGAACTGTCATTTTACATGGTCATCCAAGCCGTGTGAAGGTCAAGCCGCTTAAAGGGCAAAGGCAGTACCTTCATTTCTCAGTCACTTTAAGACCCTGAGTATTGGTCCAGCCTCAGGAATTGAACCCACGACTTCTTGTACTGTATTTAAGCACTCCTACTAAGCCAATCCATTTACAGCAAGGAAACATATCACTTCACAAATTAAGTAGCAAAATTTTACAGACGTTTGTATGGTGGGTGGCCCAAACTTGCCTAAACGTTTTTACTGACATTAAGGTGGTATTTCCAGTTTTGCTAACTGGTCGCTAGTCAATGTTGAAAATATGGTGGAAAAGTCTATTATTGCATTTTTTTAAATTTTACAGTTCCTTGGGAAAGTTAAGGAACCCACTATCCACTCACCAACTTGACTGAGTCTTGAGCATGCCATGATGAACCATTTGAGGGGATCCTTATTTTTAGGGGCTCTTGCAACCCATGGAGTTTTGGTCTCAGGTTCAGAGATGCTAACACTTGCCAGATAACATGCACATGCAAGCTTTAAGCCTCTTGGCCAGGTAACATATTCCTGCAATAAAACAAGCAAGAAAAGTAGTCAACAAAAGGTTTGACATAGGAACAATAATTACTATCGATATAGCCTGGACATTGACGTGAAAACACACAACAGCCTGTCATTTTTCAGCTACCACTGTTTTTCTTGAGGTTACAGGTTTTTTTTAGTACTGGAAACATGATGATTCACAAAATAATTTCAGTATAGTAAGGTCATTCTGGCCTGGCTCATAGGCCCTTTATAAGCTAATTTATGTCCAAAGTACACTAATATACAATGACTGTATAGGTATCAGAGGTCAAAATAACATTCAAGTTAAAACATTTTAACCTAATTGTGGGTTGATTCTCAATTTCCTTTGTCTCCTAGCCCTAATTTTTCATGAATAAGGGCTACGAGAAAAAGGAATTTACTTTTGACCTGTAACATAGGCACAATGACACTGCTTCAGTGATGCTCAGTTATTCATACCCCGTTTCATAGTCAAGATGAAGAAATTTACATGTAAACACTGTGAGACTACAAGTAGGCTTCTGCTAAAAACTCCCTTGCCATTCCAATAAAAATGCAACTGCTGTTCTTCTGTTTATATCACAGTTTAAGTAGATCAATCGATCATGTGGTTTTACAAATAATAAACTAACATACATCTTTTGCCAGCCGAATCAGTAGTGTCCCGCAATGCATATACAACTGTGCTTTCATTTCAGTTAGTATGACATCCCACTCAGTGGGTCCACCAGAGCGGCCTGGTGTTTGACGAATTTTATGCTTATGTGCCATGAACACACAATGATCCAGCCTGAAAAATATTAAAAGCATTTAAACTAAGGAGATGACGAGCCTGATCACAGCTGTCACCGGGGACCAGGGGCTGGGGATTTCCCTCGGCTACTGTGAGTATGACAATCAAAACTTTGATTCCCGGCTACATGTACTTTCATGGGAAACAAAAATATATATAATGTAAATACCAAAAGAATATCTTAGCTGTTAAATTTCCCACCTACATATGTACTAATGGCATATACCTGGCAACTTAAAATCTTAGTGACAGCCTTAACAACACAAGTGAAGGACAAAATAGCAAATTTTTCAGACTCCATTGTCTCAAAATTCCCAGAAGGGACTTGAGCACAAAGAAAACCAAACCAAATATAGAAACATGACCAGAAAGCCTCGGAGTCATGTTACAATTTTAATATATTGAACATGGGCTATTCACAGGCACATGAATTAAGTTGAAGTCAGCTCCTGGGAACTGTTCCAAAATATGGAAAGAGAGGTCAATGACAACAAACACTATTCCAAGCTTTGTTGCCAGTTTTTGCAAACATGTCCTGGGTGCAAGAAGACAAAACTTAATTGGTTACACACACAACCAAGGCTCAAAGCAATAAATGATCAGATCTACATTGTAAGTAGCAGTAAATTTACTGTGGGGACAACTTTATCACAGCATTAAGGTTAGAGTGTGTTTTTTACAAGGCTTATGTACACATTGGCCACATTTACGTTAGAGAAGAATCATTTGTCCTAGATTGATTTATTATCTGTCAGAGACAGATAAATCATCTAGATATAAGTTCAGTGTTCAATCAAATTTTGGACCAAAATTAGTCTTCACTTGATTCATCTACAAGCCTTAATGACGGCTATTATTTAGAACAATAATAATAATTTCATTTCTCAACCCTTACCTATAGAGAACATTGATGACCTCTCGTGTATTTCCTTCAGCTAGTTGAAGCTCCAAGAAGTGACAAAGAGCAATCAAAAGAAATGAGTGTACATCCAAGACAGCATTGCTACTTCCAATGACCTCACCTTTAATTGCTAAAAAAAGACAAACAACTTGACTCATTAAATAGGCCATTTCTGAGGTGCCCCAAGCCTACGTTTCAGAGCGAAGCTTATTGAGAAGCTATTCACATGAAATTTTTTTTCCCTCATGGAAATAAGACTCTTTTTTCATAAAAAAGGTTTTGAACTTGGCCTCATTTTCAAAATGAGAGTTTTTGGAACTTGGAAATAGTCTATTTTATGGTGATAGTTTTTATTAACTGGAGACTTGCAGTCTGACTGTCTGACGCACTAGATACATGTAAATGTACATGATGCAGCTGGTTAAAATCATATTCAGGTTAAAATTTTTTAACCAAGGTTGATTCTCAATTTCCTTTGCCTCCTAGCCCTGATTCACGAATAAATTGGGCTAGGAGAAAAAGGAAATTGAAGATCAACCTTGGTTAAAAAAATTTAATTTTAACCTGAATTAAATTTTGACCTTTAACATACATGCAGAAACAGACCTTCAGAAGAGAATCCATGATATTCAGTCATCAGAACTAATAGGGTTACCGGTAGTTACAGCGGTCATACAATGTATTTACATTTGTGTAGGCAAGCCATCAAACCAGCATGAATGAATACATAGTGTACTTACCCTTGTCAAGAAAGGCAAGGTATTTCTACAAAGAAAAATGATGAATTGGGTTAGTGACACAGTACAACTGAAGAATGTAAATGCACATACTGCCAAGGCAAGAAGGGGATGTTTCATGAAACATCGAGCAAAAATGGAGCTGGCAACATAGTTTTAAACCGACAGAATATTTTTGTCTCATTATTTCATTTTTAAAAAATATCATGAACTGTAATGATGCTAAATTCCTCTATGTTCTCTGTAGAATAGAGCAATCTCTATATGAAATAATTAATTACTCCTTTTCCGTTTTTCTTTTTAAAACATTCACAAAAGTCCACATCTGACAAGCTGACAAACCTCAAATATTTCCACACAGCAGGCCACCCATTCTAAACTGTCCTTAAAAGCTTTTGTCTTCCATACAGCCACACAGTGAGAAAACGCCTCATCAAGACGCCCTGGAAAGTCAGTATGATAAGAATTAAGCACTTACAGTATTCAAAAAAAGTGGAACATTCAGCAAGTTTTACATCCTTAGAGCCAGAAAAATGTCCATTTAGGAGAGATACAAGTCCACTCATGTGATATTAAAAAACTATTGTTTGTATGTTGGTAGGACTACTACTACATGGTAAGCCTCTACTCACAGGCAATGGCTGTTAGCAGAAAATTTGTGTATCTCTAACAAAAGCTTATGAGAGAACTTTTGAATTCAAACTCCATTCTTCCAGATCATAAATAGTATGTATGTTCAAATGTTATTAGTACTTATTATAAGTTTGTTTTCAGTAGGAAGAGTGCACTGTTATGACAACAAAGATTATACTACAGATGCCACTTGACAAAGTTTTTCATACAAAATGCAGAACCAATTCAAGACAAATTGTGGATTTGAAAAGGTATCACTTCCACCAGGAAAGCTGCAAGACCCTGTCTCCAATACATCATAGATTTTGACCAGTACTATTATTGTTATACATAATATGGAACCTAACAAAGTTGCAGAAAAAATGTCGCAAATTTTGTCAAGTGACAATGCTTGCACTGTCTATTAACGCTCAATTTGTTTATAACTACCTTACCTTGTACAGAATAAAGCTTTACCAGCCTAATATGCAAGTTGGCATCTCTTGGTCGTTTACTCTAAAAACAAAAATACATCAACAAAAAATGTTATAATCCACAAGTCAAGTAAAGAAAGCTAGATGCTGATACTAGTTAAACTGCTGGTATTTATTTTAATTTATTACTCTGGAAAGGGGATGGCATAGAAGAAAGTGTAACAATCAAACTCAAAGGTATGAACCTACATGTATGAAATCCAGGGTGCTGGCACTATCTTTTTAATGAAAAAAGCTACATTTTCCTTATCACCCAATGACAAAAGTTACATGTAGTTAGTCACCAGCCTCTTTCTAGCTGCTGCTAAAGACAGCCTTGATTAGCACTGATCCTTGATCTTCAATTTTCTATTACACAAGCCATTTCATTGTCGCTTTTTAACAGTTGTGAAAGAAATAACTAGATCTTCCTTGTCATGTTTATTTTATGTGACCTCCTGAAATCAAGAGTTCGACACAGCTCACCATTTATTGTTTTTAATTCTCTATCAGAAGGCCAGAATTCTGCAGAGTGAAATTGCAGGATTTCAGAAAATAGGGCTGTCACTAAGATTTCGAGCTGCCGAGTATGTACAATTAGTAACCAGGTAATTTTGTTTCAATGTCTTTTCCTTTCTTTATGGCTTGGGGGTCATGCCCATTTCAGCTTGGGGGGTGGGAGGGAGGAATCTCCGGCCCCTGGCCTTAAAAAAAGCTCTGAGAAACCATGCTTGCCTGGCATATTCAACTGTGCTATTTTGTTACTTGAAGGCCACAGTAATGTTATTATTATTTTGGACCTTCCAGTACTGCTGGAATTGAATTAATCAGAATTAAAATGGTTGATAAAAAGGAACTCACAAGTTCTTCAGATATCAGGTCTTCTAGGGCTTCATAGTCCACCACCTCAGCTGACTCTAAAAGGTGAATCTACATGTACAAACAAAAGGGCATTCAATTACAAAAAAAAAAGAAAAAAACAAGAGAGAATTACTACAGAGAAATGTTCTTCAACACCAACAGTTCCTTGGTTATACTAAGCTTTTGGAACCCATCTAGATCCTTTTATTAAAGACGTTTGCTGTTATTCGCAGCCTCTTTTTGATGAGGAGAGGGAATTACAATGGTTTGTAGCACTACAAAAAATAATGACAAAATGCTGTCCCTCTTTATGAGGTCTAAATTTAAGTACCCAATTAAACACAAACACTTTAGCTGTACAAAAAAGTCTCAGGCTTAAGAAATAACTCTTTCAACTTATTTCTTGACATATTTTGGGCAGCCAGGGACTAAATCAGCTGTCACAATCAAATGATGACAATGTGAAAAGCCAAGAGTTATAAGTTACGCCTACCCTGAGTTGAAACACATCTGGATGGCCAGGGAATAGACGAGCTCCTCTGTCTGCCCAAGCCTACAAAATTTATGTGCAACACACGTTATATAAGGAATAAATAGCTATTATTATTATTATTATTATTATTATTATTATTATTATATTAAATTAAGGACTTCCTTGGCTTCTGAATAAGACAGTACCTGTAATCTAATCTGCAATTTAGAGTGCTTTGTTCATGTACTGGTAATCACAAATTCACATCACCAGAACCCAATTTTAAAAATCGGGTGGAGAGGGGAGAAGTTTGAACTTTTCTAATGAGAGGGTCCAGGATTGCAGTGCAATGGGTGATGACATAATTATAACAGGAATGAGATATACAATGTAAACATACACTACAGTAACAGATTAAAACATAGAGACATACAGCTTTACTCACCCTAGCACGATCAGGATGGACAGGAACACTGCAGTACAATCTGACGACTAAGAAGAAATATAACATGGACGTCAATGCTAGAAGCTGATTATAAATAAATTAAAATAATGTCTCTATTATGTTGTCCCAGAAACAGAACAAAGGGTCTACCTTCTGGGCATAATACTTAATGACACAATATTTATTATTGAGAGCTAGTATTCTTGACTCACTCAAATCGCAAAGTGCTTGAATCTTGACCATGTGATGCAAGTTTTCAGAAAATATTTGCTTTTCAGGTAAAAATACATACTTTTGCCGATCTGGTCAGCTTATCAGATCTACTTCTTGGCTTCACTTTTAGTACAGTATATTGTCAAGGATGTTTAATCCATTTTTTTTACCATTTCCACACGTATTAACAGAGCAAAGAACTGACTAAAATCAAAAATGCAGTGAAATGAAAAAGTAGCAATAAGCTAACCAGGAGCTTGACAATTTCCTGTGATGTCACTGTATTATGTTTCCACCATTAGTAGCCACGTGCAGGGCTCCATTTTGTAATATGGGGTAGCTACAAAAAATCGCTAGCCCTTAATGACATCCCTGAAAGAATGTCCCTTTAGGATACAAACCTTTTAGAACCAACTCCTTCTGAGTGTTGTTCAATTCCAAGGACCTAAAAATTATCGTATTAACCATTTAATTAAAAGAATAATAATAATAGCAAGAAAACGAGGAGGCAATGAAGACACAATGTAACTGAGCAGCAGCAGAGTGGCTGATACCTTCTGTATGAAGCAACTGCCTTTTCCAACTCTCCCAATGATTCATACAACTGTCCCATTAGGCAGTGACCCCTGTAATTAAGAACATACATTCAATCAAACCCAGTTTTGAAACTTGTTTCAATATAATGCCTCGTTAAAACATTTGAAGAACTTTTAAAATTTATTTCATAGAAATAGTATAATTTTTTCGTTTTTCACTTTTTCTAATGCACAATGGCTCTTTAAAATTTAGGCTATGTTAAACTCGAGACATTGCTGGCCAGCTGCCTCTCGTTGCGGATATGTGGGGTACCATAATGGCATTGCACGGGTTGTGGGATTTTACAGCCATTCTCTTGGGGTCAGGTCATTACATGTGTATGTTATTGCCTGTCTCAGCTAGTGCTTGCAGAGTGGTTTTTTCTGCTCTCTACCCTTTCCCCCTATAGTAAGTATGATGGTAAGTATGTTAGATTTCACTGGTTTGCAGTGTGATGGTGCCTGGGCAGTGATTTTGTTACAAATAGTAATGGTGAGTGCTGAAGTCCCAGTCCATAATCCATAAGTCTCAGTTTAAAAAAAGAAACAAGGGGTCCCAAACTGGAAATACTTGAGCCTTTTTGTAAACAGACAGTTAACCTGGAGACAGTCACCAAAACTCTTTAATACAGTTTATTGAACTTCTGTACCATATATTTAAAGGACAAAAGACTAAAATAAATTTAATATGCATCTTTAAACAACAGCCACAAAAAACACATGAACAGGATATTCTAAATGTACCATTAAATCTTCAAATCAATTTATCATTCTTTGTATCCTATAGGACGCATTTCATTTATTATTTTGGCAATGTTTATGCATCGGGGATACAGGATGCGGAGGTAACAAAATCATGGCCTGAGTGGATGCCACTCTAGATGGTTGTCAAGGTTAAGCATTGCACTCGGCAGCAGTTCGGGGCTCCACAGCCTCACATGTTCCTCCCCCATGCTCATCTCTGTTTTATGACAAATGAGTTTAATTTGCAGCTGTTGTCTTTGTGTAGAGGACCATAATGAATACCACCCAGTAACTGGAAATTAAATTAAGTTTTTTCTTCAAATTTTCAGTTAACACAATCAACATCAAGGTAATATAATGTATGTTACAAACAAAAATAGTTCTTACCTAAAATCTCCTTCACTCTCGCTAATGTAAGCTTCCAGGTACCTATGGGATATTAATTTTTTATAACAGATAATATAAATTTAAACTCTCAAAATGATTACATATACTAGTGCACGTTAAGTTTTATGGCGTAAACAGTGAGCAGATTTCTCACTGCCTCTCTCAAAGGATCAATAAAGTTATAGTAGTTTAAGTAGCAAACAGCTGTTTTCTATCACCGGTAAACAATAATCTGTATAGCAGGACATGGAAAGCTACAAATACATGTAGTAGATGTAGTGTGATATTTTGGGGCTAACCTTAGATCAGGGATGACTTGAATAAGCCTGGTGTTAATACGTAGGGAAAAACTCAGCTGATCAGGATTAAATTATAGTATACTGTTTCTTAATTAAATAAAACTTAAAACTGTACTAAGTAAATATCCCAGGCAGTCTAGGATGGCCCGGGACAAATCTAGAGACTAAGGAGCATTTCTATTTTTCTGACACCTTTCAGATTTCTGCAATGAGATGGCGGTGATTATTTCTGACAAATGAAGACTCAAATTAATTTTGTCTCGCAGGGGATCAATGGGGGATCATTTTTTCTCTGTTTCTTTGCTTTAGTCTTTCCTCCATAAATAAAAATAGCATCTGGGACAGATCCTAGAATTTTCCTGACATTATTGGTAGAATCTAGAGTGATCAGAAAACAGTAAAATTCCCCTGGGATTTTCCCACCATATGAAAAACCAGGCTTTTAGGAATGATAAGAGCAGATCTAGGGTTGGAATACTGTTAGACCCGGCTTCCTCTCTGCAATAAGACAGATCACTGTAGAAAATTCAAATACAGTACTTTGCCCTGAGTTTTGGGGGGAGAGCCCTTAGAATATTTTAGCAGCTTACATTGTATAACAGGCCATCCTAGAATTATATTTACCGGCACAATGCAAAATAGAATGAAATCGCTTTCATATTTTATTTCAGTTAGGCAAAATAACACTCTAAAAACTGTTTGATTAATTTGTAATGTCTTACGTTATGTACATGTACATGAAAAGAATCGATGTTAAATTATAGACTTTAGTCCGACCAGAAGAACTTTGACAAGTTTAAACATCCTCCAACATCGAGGGCCAGGCTTGATGGTAAACAGGTGAGAATAGGTAAAATAGCACTTTAAAAGTTTAACTCGCGTTCATTTCGATTACATCAAACACAAGTCTTACTTAAGCAATAGACCACACTTTCTATGGGTTTACCGGCGTGATAACCCACGCGGGATGTTGGGAGAACACAAGAAAAGCCTGTAAATCACGAGCCGAAGGCGAGTGATTTACAAGCTTTTCGAGTGTTCTCCCAACATCCCAAGTGGGTTATCACGCCGGTAAACCCATAGAAAGTGTGGTCTATTGCTTTTATAAAATAACTTTTAGTAGAATGGAGTATTTTAGGTAAAAAATATGGTTCTAGTACCGTGATCAAGTCACGTCTTCTCTCTAAAGTCATCATAAGCCAATCATGACTCACGATTTAATAGCGTTGAACTTTCTCAAAACTCAGTTCAGTCAAACAACAAACAGCAGCACTTCAAAACACGAGTTTTTGCACTCATTACATGATAACTTATGAAAGCTGTTTTACAGGAAAAGTCAACACATATTCATGCGAACGTACAATGAAAGAATACGTTCATGGTTTGTTTACTACAGAAGTAGGAATTAATTGAACATCAGACTGTACGCAGCTGTATTTTGTTGAGTCGATCCGTAAGAATTTCGTTGTTACAGACGGAACTGGCAGCTATTGTAATAGAGGACTTCATTCACTTTTAACAAGCCGCAGTGGTTTAAGATCTGTTTTCTGGACTTTATTATGATCAAGAAATGCTGCGGTAACGACGTGGCTGCATTTGCGAAGTTGTCGCATGTAACTTTATATGCACGTACAGCGACCGATGGAAATATGTCAGTGGTGGAGAAAGGTTTCTTTGCCGTAGCCACATATTGGCGTTAATATTTGTCGATTCGTGAAGTGAGGTGGTTTGAGGTAGGTTATGGCATCGATATCACCGAATAATTTGTGCAAATGTTGGAAAAAACCAGCCCGAAACTCTGACATCTTTCATCATCGTTGGCAGCTTGTTTACAACTTACAGCGGCCGATTTTGTACCATATCTTGATCAGAGATCTCTTTTTGGAACAATTTCTTTCATTAAGAAATTTAAGTTTGAGATAAAATAAATCAAGAATGCTAAAACTATCCGTTTTGTTGCTTGTTGGCACATCGTTAAGTTTTCCTAGAGACTTTCTACACCAGAAATTCACACAGTTGTGGTCTTTGTCTGCGATTTGGTATCGTCGTGAAATGTAAACTGTTTTTCAGCTTTGTACTTTATAACTTCCAAAGCTATAGCAGTAGCGAATTGTGACGCTCAGTAATAAAATGTGGAAACCAACGCTTTTAATATTAAGAAGGGCTGGGTAAGTAACTTGTTCTGTTTTTTAGCCTTTCTAAAATCGTTGTTTGCAGATCAATAGCCGGTTTTGTTTAGGGCTCGTGGTACGGATGCCTTTTTCTATGGGTTTACCGGTATAATAAACCATAGGTTTTTGACCAATCAGATCACGCGTACTGTCTCAGTTATTTTATAAAAACGAAGAAACTGCAACGGACAGTGTGTGAAGTCGAACGAACAGGAAATGGCACGCAAAATGCAACGTTAACAATTACAAGAATAAACTTACCGTTTCGCAGTCTCATTGTCAGAAGCTTCTCGGTACAGTCTAGCGAAGGCAAACCCTTTCAGGTTACGCTGCAATTCAGAAAAGGTGATCGTCAATATAGAAATGAATGCAAAGAGATTTCTCCGATGAGCAATGAATGAAATATGCTCACCTCGTGCGCACTTTTGCAATTTCGTTCAACCTGAACCACGTACTTATCGACTTCGTCCTTGGTCCAAACCATTTCAAAGGTTTGTGGAGAATGTAAAGCTTGAAGCCAAAACGAAGGAATCTCAATTTAACGGGCAATGTGCTTCATTTCAATTTACTAGTATTTCATATTTCCAACACTCTCAAAACGAAGACCGCGAAAGATAATTTTGACTTGACGCATGATCTTGAAAAAAAAACCGCTGTACGATGAGATTTTTTTCTTTTCTCTGACTTCCGGTTTTTCGCGGAAAAATGCTGCAGGGTTCGTGCCTGTTCATGCAAAGTTGACGCTGCCAATTTCAATGGGGTAAGAATTATCTTTCTTTATATGTATTATACTACGTTCAAGCTTAGTTTTCGTTTACTGTCGATGAAATTTACGACTTTGAATACTGTGTTGTGCAAGCCTCAACCCCGCTAGCCAGTGCCCGCGCTAGCTGCCAAGACGGGTTTTACCATGTTGCAGCTGATTTGATGTCCTCTTATCTTGTAAGAGGCTTCCTTCCTGCTGCTCGCTCTCCCTTTTTGGTAGATTAAAAGTTTATAGCACAATGTCTTTATATGGCAGGGAGCTGAGCCATCCTGAGTGTGTTCGGAACTGATATTTTTCTTATATGTCTTCCTGCTGTCATTTGATTATATTTTAGAATTGAATTTATCTGCACTCGAGTCGGAGCCAGCGGAACGAGCAGGGACTTTAAGATCCAACGACGCGACGGCAATGAGGATGTCGCTTGAAAAGTGAATTTGCGTTCTTTCAGTCTTTATCGCAATTATTCCTACCAAGTCACTTTGTCAAATGAAGGCGAACCCTCCTGGAGTTGAATTCTCCAAGTACAGAAAGAGAAACTGAATTTCGTCGTCGCTTGTTTACGTCCTCCATAAAACGCGGAATTAGGCATTTTCACGTCGTGGTCCTGCAAAAACGGACAAAGAAATGTACAAAAACGCGTGGTGGACGTGCAAAGGTGTTGTTTTGCTTATAAAACCTATGGTTTATTTGACGTTCTCGTTGCCGTTCGCGTCGTTGGATCTTGGAGCGAACGCCCCCGGACCGGCAAAGCGCGGAGGGGAGGGGCGCTTATTCAAAGGACGCGGTGATTTCGCACCAAAGGATAGCCTGCGTGGGATTTAACGAGCGCGCAAGGGGAACACTAGCTAGAAGGGGAGAGGAGGCATATTGGTTGTTTACCATTTATAAAAAAATTCCGGAAATTTCGGTCGGTAAGAACAGTAAGTGTCGTTTACCATTTGCCTAAAATTTTCCTGATTGTCGCACCGCGCTAGACTGGATTCTAGTTACAGCATGAAACTGGTTACGAAACTCAAGAAACTTGTAAATGGTAAACGAATTTCCATTTGGAACGTCCTAATCGGGAAAACGGGACTACCTTTTTAGAATTTCCGTTTGTCCAGGGAATTTTCCAGTGGGACGAACCAAAAAATCGTTTACCATTTACATCCCAAGTGGAATTTCTGGGAATTTGTGGTAAATGGTGAACAACCGATCCTCTCCTTTTCTCGCCTCCTGCGCGCGCGTCCTTAAACTTTCTCCCTTCGCCTGGGGGGGGGGGGGGGGGGGGGGGGGGGGGGGGGCC